GTGGTGGCTCATGCCTATAATCCCAGCACTTTGGGAGGCCAAGGCAGACAGATCACCTGAGGTCGGGAGTTCAGGACCAGCCTGCCCAACATGGAGAAACCTCGTCTCTACTAAAAATAGAAAATCAGCCGGGTGTGGTGGCACATGCCTATAATCCCAGCTACTCGGGAGGCTCAGGCAGTAGAACTGCTTGAACCCAGGAGGCGGAGGTTGCGGTGAGCCGATATCACGGCATTGCACTCTAGCCTGGGCAACAAGAGCGAAACTCCATCTCAAAAAAAAAGAAAAAAGAAAAAAATTGATACATATATACATACATATTGCTGTAGTGCTATGGCCAATGTACTTCTTCAACTAGGTCTAGATCTTATGCTACAGTTCTGTTTCCTCTGTCTAAATGTAGAAAGAAGAGGACAGGAGGTCACATAGGTTTTTCCTGGATGAATAAATGGATTTAATTTGCACAAACAAACCAAATTGTAAATTCTTCTCTAGTTTATGTAAAATGATTGTGCCCAAAAAACAATGTTTTATCTTGCTCAACACTTTAATTTGTGGCTTGACCAATCATTAAGCAAAATAAATACCAGGTCCAGCAAACAAAAACGGCCTGTCTCTATTTCAAATATTCCCTGTATTACAATCATTACCCACATTTAAATCACAATTAAAGATATCTGGAGGAGAGCAAGCAGAATAAATGAAGGAAAAACCCTAACCTCCAAAACAAGGATCATTCAACACTTAAACTTCATTACCACTGACTAGCTGGGTCATCTGGGCAAATCCCTTCACTTTCCTGGGTTCAGTTCTTTCCTGTATTAATTATTCTAGATAATACATCTGTATATCATTAGTATATCCTATGAGCCTTACTTATTTGCCTGCACCTTAGTTGTTAGAGCTTAGTTATTATTGCATTTCTAACTAGATCTCAGGTGATCTGGCTGCTGGTGGCCCAACAATCTTTTGAAGACCATCACTCTGCAGAATATAAAAACGTTGATGAATGTCATCTAAGGGCGATTGAGTAGTAAAAGTTACCTCGATGTAATTCTGAGAACTGTCACTCTGGCATTGCAGCTCCACGTGGGTGAAGTTGATTTGTATTTGTTCTCCTTGAGGCTGCTTTATCATATAGACGCATTGCCTGGTGTGAGTGAAAGGCCCAGACAACTCAGGCAGGAAGAGTTCACCCTCTGGGTCCGTGTAGTTCCCACCACAATGCAGATCCGCTAAGAACAGGGAAGACACGAACAGGTCATGCCAATGGCATTGCTCTGGCTCGCAGGCATTGGATCTAGTTTCTAAAAATTTACACTCACACACACACACACACACACACACACACACACACAAGCACATACCCACTTTATTCACCCTCCATAGGCTTGTGCCTCTAATTTTAAGATTTTCAATTTGATGTGTTTGTGGGACATTCCTGCAGTGGCTTAAAGAAATAGATGCAGAGATGTGTCATCTAGCTTCCAATCTACTATTCTCTTCATAAATTGCTTTTTAAATACATTAGTGCTCTGTTTCATTCCAATAAGATTTGAGATGGTTATAAAAAATGTAACAAAATGAACTATATAACTGTATACATGAAGCAGATTAAAGAAAAAATGAATACACAATAGCAAGATGTAGCCAGGGGGAGTTGATTTGCACAGAAAACAATTGAAAGGGGAACAGGAGGTTGGCACCAGACTCTGCAGAAAGAAAAGGAAATGAAGAAAGGGGACAAGTAAAGATGTTCATTGTTACTCTTCCTGATATTGAAATTTAAAAGGTATTTTTTCTGTGAATGCTTATTAAGGGCACAATAATAGATGTCATAAACAAAATCCTCCACTTCCCTAAAAAAACCCAAATCATAGAGTATTTCCTATATTTTGTTGTTTTGTTTGTTTTAAGGTATCAAAGCAAGTGAGTTCCTAACAGCTAATAGTATTTGGCTGGAAGTGAAGCTCTAGAGTCTGGGACACTGTGATGCTGGAAGCCAGTCCCAGCCCCTGCGCAGCTGGACTCGATTTGAGGATAAAATCCAGAGAGACCGCACTGCTCACATGCACAAACCTCTCTCACAACTAAACATCAAACACCATGAGGGACTGGCGTCCTGAATTATTTAAGTTTGGGTGCCTCATACATCTTTATAGTGATGTGGATCCCATAATTTAGGGATCAAAGGATATTGCAGTATTAATAATAGAGCATTGGGAAGATAAAGAAAAAATCTGAAGCTGTGAGAGAAATATGTATAAAGAGATGTTCTTGGTCTAAGACAGTCAGTTATCCTCTGAATCACATTAAAATATAAAACAGATGTAAGCATAGCATTGGCCTTCAAGTCCCTCTTAAGCTCTCAACTGTAGGTTACTTACAAGGTGATGTTAAGTAGGTGATATGGAAGCCTTGGTCACTAATCTGGGAGTCCGAATGGAAGTGAACTCTGGCAAAGGGGCCGGTAGTCTGGAGCGGTGGGACAGAGAAAGTGGTGCAGAACCTCCCAAGAACGGGGTCCTGATACAAAGGACCATCTCGAATCTAAAACAAAAGGCTGAATCATTAAGCTCAAAGTGGTCAGATTTTTAACAAACTAGGTCACTTTGGATATTAACTTTAGAAAATCTGTCATTTAAAAGTGATCGCTCAAGGAAGTTTACCCATCACATCCAAATCTAACTCATGGCTGAGGTTCAGCAAAGGGTGTCTCCTTCTCCCATCTCCCCAGTGCCTTCTCTCTGTCTGAATCTTTTTTTTTCTTTTTCTTTTTCTTTTTTTTTTTTAAGATGGAATCTTGCTCTGTCACCAGGCTGGAGTGCAGTGGCGCGATCTCAGATGATTGCAACCACCACCTCCCAGGTTCAAGCAATTCTCCTGCCTCAGCCTCCCAAGTAGCTGGGACGACAGGTGCCTACCACTACGCCCAGCTAATTCCTGTATTTTTAGTAGAGACGAGGTTCCACCATGTTGGCCAGGATGGTCTCAATCTCTTGACCTCATGATCTGCCCGTCTTGGCCTCCCAAAGTGCTGGGACTACAGGCATGAGCCACCGCTCCTGGCCTGTGACTGGATTTCAATTCCAAGGCTGGACATATAGTTTGAATTTTTCTCATGATGTTACTAATCAAATATCTTTCCCCTTTGATTGTTTTTCATTGTAAATTATTAGTGATCTAGAAGAATATGAATATAAGCAAGGAAAACAGAAGAAGGAACACCATTGATGCCAACTGATTCATAACTTGGTTCAGGTTTCAGAAGGATCAGAGGTAGAGAGGAAGTGCCATCACATTAGACACAATACAAAGACAGGTTAGTGAATCTAAAAATGCAACTTTGATAGTAAGTACTACAATGATAATGATGTGACCTTAGAAATCCTTTTTTAATTGTTGGTTTTTAATCTATTTTATAATCATGTCAATCTCTCTATAATTCTGTTGTAATTGCAAATTCTATACTATGTAGACCACCGAGGAGTCAATGAACTAAAGAATATTTTAATATGGTCAATTTTGTCTATTCAAATTACTTTTCTTTTTTTTTTTTTTGGACAGAGTCTCGCTCTGTTGCCCAGGCTGGAGTGCAGTGGCGTGGTCGCGGCTCACTGCAAGCTCCGTCTCCCGGGTTCACGCCATTATCCTGCCTCAGCCTCCCAAGTAGCTGGGACTGCAGGCACCTGCCACCGCGCCTGGCTAATTTTTTGTACTTTTAGTAGAGACGGGGTTTCACCGTGTTAGCCAGGATGGTCTCAATCTCCTGACCTGGTGAGCCGTCCGCCTCCGCCTCCCAAAGTGCTGGGATTACAGGCGTGAGCCACCGCGCCCAGCCGGCCTCAAATTACTTTTTTTACTGAGATCAAAGTTATATGGCAGCATTACTTTATTCTAATATTTAACTGGTTCTTTGAAATACTGTAGCTTAAAGAGAAATGAGAGACATTTCAATACTGTCAGAGTGGTTGACACTTTCTATCATATGGTCTCCAGAAATGAATGTGTAGGAATTTTTTAAAGCCTCTAATTTTAACTTGATGGAATTTATTGAAAATTAATTTCAAGATAACTCACTTTTCTGTCAACATTTAAATGACCATTTTGCAGAAATTTTCCAGAGAGAGACAGATCTTCCAGTCATTCCCAAAGGTTTCAAATCCATTATTGCTGAATTACTAATGACTTTTACTTGCGGAGCCCCTTTTTGACAGCCACATCCTTCTATCCTTTATGAATAATTCCATTGAACTCCATTCTTCTCTAATGGACTTGGAAATGCATATTGTCTTTTTAGCATTACTGCAAGTGGCTGAGATTTATGGTGATAAAAAATACAGGACAACCTAGGAACTCAATCTTCTCCATTATCTTTTCAGTCTACAAATGAAGAGCAACACTTTTTGATACACCTACGTACAAATGGCATTTGAGTATAGGAGTCTTTTCTCCTTCTCCATATTTTAATCTTTTTGGGTAGGCAGAATGAGCTTCGGCTGATACCTCTCCTCTCAGTAATAATGATTAATTTATTCCAGGAACCTAAACCAGTTCAACACAATCACTACTGTTTTTCTTTTTCTTTTTTTTTTTTAAGTCAGAGCCTCACGCTGTCACCCAGGCTGGAGTGCAGTGGCATGATCTCAGCTCACTGCAACCTCTGCCTCCCGGGTCTAAATGATTCTCCTGCCTCAGACTCACGAGTAGCTGGGGTTACAGGCACCTGCCACCTGGCCCAGGTAGTTTTTGTATTTTTAATAGAGATGGGTTTTCACCGCGTTGGCCAGGTTGTCTCCAACTCCCAACCTCAAGTGATCCACCCACCTCGGCCTCCCAAAGTACTGGGATTTCAGGCTTGAGCCACTGTGCCTGGCCTCTTCATGGAATACTACAGTTACATTGTAAAAGACTTTGCCAGTTTGCCACAGACAACTGAAGGTTTGAATCTGCACTGAAGGAGATAGCTATTACTGAGTGTTTATTTCATAAATTCTGCATTCTCATGGCAGGGGTGTGGGCTTCCAGGTAACACCATAGCAGGGCAAGGTAATCTGTTTCCCAGATTCAAATGGAACCCAGAAGAAGAAGCAACAAACAGGCACAATTAAAAATAGAGACTTTTCAAGACTTAGATATTGACTGACTATTGAGAAATACACCTAACTATTGCCAATATTTTGGGGTCATCCATGGGCATGGCTAGACCATAGTGCCCTGAGTCCTAATCATACTGTGATATGTTCTATCTAAATATAATTATTTACCTCAAGGTAATCTTTGTTGCAGTCGTCATGGTGCTCAAGGCTCAAGGTCCCAAAAGTGAATGTTACCAGGAGGTCAGGACTAGTTACAACAATCCAGACACAATCTCTTCCTGGGGGGTAGTTTCCAGGATACCCCGGAGACTTAATAGAACCATAAGGACCAGTCAGTATACCTCCACACTCTAAAATAAGAAGGAAAAATAATGTTACATTTGTATAGATGTTATAATTCATGGAGAATGATCAGAGCCCTTGGTGTAAGAAGCCAAACTTTGTTTAAATAACTATGAGTGGTTTTACACACCCTCATAAATTAAACAAGACTTATATTTTCCAGTTTTATAAAGTTATAAGTCTAGAAGTATCAACTGATAAATAAATGAATCACCCACGTGTCAAGCTCTGTGCTTGTGAGCCATCACATGCTAACACAATTTAAACAGGGTTGGACCATCTGAGGGATGAATACCAGGATTGTAGAGTCATCTTTTTCACTTTGAGGATATTAATTTCTGTATGTGAAATTGTAAAGAATTCCAGAACTTCTGCCAACCCCTATGTGTTTCAACAAATCAGATCACTTTGCATATTAAAATGGTTAAGTGCTACCTAAATTTCATTTGAGAAGGTTTCTTAATACTATCATATAGTTAAAACATTCATTTTATAAATGAAAAAATTCAACTGTCTGTAGTGACTGAGCCAGTGTTCCAAGAATGGAGCAAGTGAGGGACTGAGCCAGGCTTTCTGATGCTGACCCCACTACCATCCTCATTATATCACACCAGCCTCCTAACATTGCTGACCAGTGACTGGAAGAACCTGTTCTTCATTAATACTCACATTTATTTAACAAAGAATTTATAGTGACTTAGATTTCTATGAGAAATGCTACTGTAAATGATAGAAACACTAAATAATAAAAAACTATCATGTACTAATACAGACATTAGAAATAAGTGCAATAAGGTGACATTTTAGATTAGCAAGATATGAAATTTACATAGCTATACAGGTTGTTCAAATAAAAATTTTGCTGTCAAAGTAAAAAATGAAAAAAATTAGTTCCATGAGTCTCATTGTTCCTACTGAGAAAACATCTCAGTTCCTCAGAAGATGCATTTCCCAATGTAATACTTTAAAAGTTACCAGTTTTAAATGCATAAAATACCATAAGCAAAGTAAAAGATTAATGACAAGAAAAAATGCAATATACAACAAAGAGTTATTATCCCAAAATATACAGAACTTCTAAAAATAATAGAGATACGAACAGAGTGCACTGAAAAAAGTTCAGGTGTCTCTTAAACATATGAAAGGATGTTCAACATCACTCATCACAAAGAAGGTGCAAATAAAAGCTTCACTGAGATGCCATTTCTTACCGCTCAGAATGTTAAAAATCCAGAGTTTTGAAAACAAATTATTGGAGAGGCTGTGGGGACATAGGCATTCTCACACATTGCTAGAGAATGCAAGATGGTACAATCACTGCATAAGAGAATATAGCAATAGCTAGCAAAAACGTATGCATTTCATTTTTTTGTTTTTTTACCAAACAATACTACCTTTGGAAAGATAACCCAAAGGTACATTGGCAAAAATACAATATGACAAGTGAATAAGGTATTTTGTTGCAGTAACATCTGGAATTCCAAAAGATTGGAAACAAGGCTGGGCATGGTGTCTCATGCTTGTAGTCCCAGCACTTTGGGAGGCCGAGGCAGGAATATCATTTGAGCCCAGTTTAAGAACAGCCTGGGCAACATGGGGAGACCCCATCACTGCAAAAAATAAAAAAAATTAAAATTAGCTGGGTATGGTGGTGTGTGTCTGTAGTCCCAGCTACTGGGGAGACTGAGGCAGGAGGATCACTTGAGCCTGGGAGGTTGAGGCTGCTGTGGGCCATGATCACACCCTGTCTCAAAAATAAAAAATAAAAGACTAAAAAGAAGATGACCAAAAGACTGGAAACAAGCCAAATGTCCATCAATAGAGTACTGATTGAACAGAAAATGAGATATCACATAACAGCATACTATGCTCTGATTATGGAGTAATCTCCAGGATATATGATGTGAAAAAAAGCAAACTATAGACCAGTGTGTATATTATGCTCCCTTTCATCTAAGACAGAGGAAAATACAATTATATGTGATCATTTGCTTATTTTTAAATAGAAGGATAAATCAAAAACTAATAAAAACTATTCTCTAAGGGGGAAGAAAGAACAGAGTGGAAGGGACAGGAAAAAAAGCTAGACTTTTCTCAATCTACCAGCCCACTGATTTGGCTTTGGAACTATAAATATATTTCACATAATTATAAAGCAAAATTCGAAGGAAATGAAAAAACTCTTTAAAATCACAAGCGAAGTGAAACTGATGAAATAATTGCATTGTGCTGACAATCATAGAGAGTGGAAATATTCCAGGGGACCTTAAACACTGTAATTTGACTATACTGCTCAAGCAAAACATATTTTAAATACACAAAAAAGAGCAAAGAAATCTTAAATGGTTTCCAGTTATCATACTACTAGTAATAACATTAGTACTGCTATTTTGAAAATGTATACAGTAGGACTAAGTACATAAATAACATGTTCATGTCATTGGGAACCAAGATTTTCACTGTATGAGAGAAGAGGTACAAATGTAAAGTAAAAAATAATAATAATAAATATATATATATATATATATGCAACTCTGTAATCTCAATAGTGTAAGATCACTGTGAATATATAGTGTATTTTTTCTTTAAAAACAACAAAACAGTGTTTTCTAATTCTGTCCACCAAAAGGTCTAGGGACAATGACACACCCAGTAACAACAGCCATCTGTAGCACCCAGACTGTGAGATCTAAATACCATTTCCCATGGAAAGAGTCACAGCTCTTTAGGGAAATCAGGGTTTTCAGTCCTGAGAGTAAATAATGTGCAGGAAGAGCCTAGAACATCTTTTTAGATCAGAAAGCAAAGAAGCTTTCAAAGGTAACTGGAGTTTGGTTAAAGAAGTTCAGAAACTAACTGGAAAACTTTCCAGAGTTTTGAAAACAAATTATTAACAAACATAACAAACATAATATGGAAAAATGGAACATTTTTAAACGCCTAGAATTGATTAAAGCACATCAAATATGATATAATATATAAATGTACAGATATCAAAAACAAAACAAAATAAAATGGAGTAAGTGACCATTTTGAAGAATGCTAAGGAACCAAGTTATTAATTTGAATACTTTTAAAAGAAAGAAAAAGAGAGAAAATCAAGCATTTATCCTACCTTTCCTACATGATCTCTGTATGAGAGCAACCAAATAGCTGATATGAGTAAGTTCGATTCTATTAAAGAACTTCAAATAATAAATAAATAAATAAGAAATAATAAAATCAAACTATGATCATGTTGTAGGTGGCAAAGAATAACTCATAAATATGAGGTTATTATTTAGGTTCATAAATAATGAACCTAAAGAATGCTAAAAGCGTTAGAGGAAGTGCAAAAGAGGCTTTTAATAGGAAGTTCAACCTGAGGAGATCAGAACACTCTGACCAATGATAACGTCATAATAGACAAGCAGATTTCATATATCTCCTGAAAAGATTATTTTTTACCAAATAAACCCCCTAGATTTAACCAAACTTTTTGGTATAAGTATCAGTTTACAAACAACATGACAAATGGCATGTAGAATACAAACAGCAAAATCCAAGATGTGGGATGATCTACAGAACAAACAACCCATTTATTTCACAAACAAATTTGAACAATGGGCTGCTCTGCCTATGGAGTAGCCATTCTTTATTCCTTTACTTTCTTAATAAACTTGCTTTCACTTTATGGACTCACCCCAGAGTCCCTCTACAACCCTTAGGATTAAAGGTGCCCTTGTAAAAGGCAGTGGAGAAATAAACCACAGGCATTCAAACCAGAGCAACTCCATCTTGAACAGGGGCTGGATAAAATAAGGCTGAGACCTACTAGACTGCATTTCCAGGAGTCTAAGGCATTCATAGTCACAGGATAAGATAGGAGGTCAGCACAAGATACAGGTCGCAAAGACCTTGCTGATAAAGCAGGATGCAGTAAAAGTCAGCCAAAAACCACCAAAACCAAGATGGTGAGGAAAACGACCTCTGGTCATCCTCACTGCTCACTGTATGCTAATTACAGCGCATTAGCATGCTAAAAGACACTCCTACCAGTGCCATGACAGTTTACAAATGTCACGGCAACAGCAGGAAGTTACCCTCTATGGTCTAAAAAGGAGAGGAATCCTCAGTTCCAGGAATTGCCCACCTATTACCCAGAAAACTCATGAATAATTCACCCCTTGTTCAGCAAATAATCACAAAATAACTGTTAAGTATACTCAGTCAAGCAGTCTGTGCCACTGCTCTGCTTATGGAGTAGCCATTCTTTTATTTCCGTACGTCTTAATAAACTTGCTCTCACTTAAGAAAAAATGAACAACGATTAATGTTTGATAATAGTGAGGAATTACTGTTTTAGTTTTTATCATTTTCAGGCATTGAGAACAAACAGCAAAGGACTGTAATCTCTGAAAAGAGAAGTATATGAAGTATGTCCCATACACACTCAAGAATTCAAAGAAGTGAAGCCCAAGGAGACGGCAACACCCTTGCTACGGTAAACAAACAGCTCATGATTTAGGGCCACCAAAGCATCTGGGGTTTTGGAGCTGCATACTGTAAGGAAAGCAGCTGCATGGAAATGGCACCCCAAAAATGTACAGGCATTTCCTTAGGTCCTTAGCTCACTTGCAAGCTGCAAATGCACAGAGAAGACGGCAGGTCTAACAGAGAACAGTTTTGGGGGGAGGGAAGATGCTAAGAATTGAAGAGAGGCTGCATAATAAATACTGAAGGGATGTGTTACCTCATTCAGGCAGAAAGGAGATACTTTTGTGAAAACCCTGAGAACTGAATTAAAATGCCAGAAAAGTATGCTACAGGAGTAAGATTCATGTTCTAGGAAATATGGCAATCCACCAGGATTCACAAAAAATGTGAAATAGGTCCCCTGTAAATTCAAGCTTTGATTGAATGAAAGTGATCTGCTAGGAACATAAGTGCCTACTAGAACAAAACCCAACCCTTCTGAGAGGAAGATAATATAATCCAGAATCCCTGCAACATATCACGTACAATGTCC